ATTAACAAAGGCTTTACTCCTTTCAAACTTTATCTGGAATGTCACTGTTTCGGTCACTGCAACTTCCCGATCAGACGAACGAACACACACACACACACACACACACACACAAAATCGTCTGCCTCATGAAAAAAATGTATTTAAAAAATGTAGTTCATATTTGCATCATTTACGATTTATTTTATCCACCCGCAACCCACCCGCAAATAATCAGAATGCATTTTTTATTACCCGGCAGCAGGAGGTGCTTTAAAGCAGGAGAAACAGAGGCTTCCCCAGTAACAGCTGTACACAAAAAACTCACAAACGCTGCTTTATCAGGCATATAACATGCAAGATTAAATAAAAATGACAGCGAAAATTTTCTAAAGATAGTCTTCCTTCAGAAATACAGTGATCTAAAAACAGCCGCGCCTCGTTTTGATTTTTAAATGTGCAGTACATGCCCATGTTTATTCAACGAAGCCTTTTGGAAAATCGGTCAGTTTTGATATTGTGGCGAGCGCCACAAATAAATAAACTGCACAACCACCTGAGTCCAACTTCAGTCTACTCATCACCTTAACTTTAACTGCGTTTGTAGTCAGCGCCATAGCCAGACTGATAAACAAACACAGACCGGATGTTAACTTCGGGCCAGGCACGCGTGCGCCCGATGAAACCATCTATGGATTAAAGTAAGAAATATTTTAAGGTGTATAGAAACATTGCTGATTGATCTATTTTCCTGTAGTCTCTTAATTAATGTAATGTGTTTTTGTTCATTTTGTGCATTAAGTAATGTGTGTTTGTGCAGTAATGTAGGCTATATAATATTTACTTACCAAATCTATCCCATGCCAGAGGGTTTCTCTGCCAGAGGTTTTCTACCCAAATCAGTACTCCGTATCGGCTGCAAAAATCCTGATCGGAGCATCCCTAATAAACACATTTTTTATTTGTATGCAACTGTCCTTTTAAGAATGTGAACCGTCGTTAACCGACTTAAACTGCTTGATTAAACTGCTTCGTTCATATGCATTACATTTACAATTATGATATTATCATTTTGAAGAATGCAAGTTATGGGGAAATGCCCTGTCAGTGGAGGAACATAAATCTCCCAATTACACAAATTATAAGTGCAACTTACCTACTCCACCTTTCTCAGCTCCACTGCGCGTTTCTCAGCCAGACCATCACGTAGACGGCTGGTGTGTTGATCAACCTAACACATAAGGTAAAAGAGCATAATCAGGGATAAAGGAAATCTGAAACACATTCACAGCATTTAAATACATCTTAAAAACTGAACAACATTTAGTGTTCAATCCATAGAGCACACCTTCGCTGTCCTGAGACCCTCAGGGGACCACCAAGGAAGAGCCCAGAGTAAGTTAATTGCACATAAATCCACTTAAGTAATTTTTTTAATTTGACACCCTTCACAGATACTTCTATTATTTAAAATAAAAGGAGTGGCAAATTTTTTTTTACCATTATTGGGCACTCTATACACACACTGCAGACACAAAAGTTTTCAAAACCAAAGTAAATGTGAATTTTGTGGCATTAACGTGGCATGATAGATCACAGTTCAAACTGCAATTGCAATGTATCAATGTACATTAAAATAACGGCAAAGTTATTTTTGGACAAATTTAGTAAAGGTGTAAGGATCCATCGATCAAGTGTCTAACGATACGATGTATTGAGGCTGCACGGAAAAAATAAATAAAAATACACACACATCTGTCCTGCAGATGGCGCTGCAAGCTCATTCCGTCCATGATGTTTTAGAAAACAATCTTTTCGCAGTTTATTTAGTTCATTGCTTAAGGCAGTGGTTCCCAAACTTTTTCTGCCAGGCCCCCCTTTTGTAGAGATGTGAATGCTGAAAACAGTTGTGCTGCTTCATATTTTTTAGGAAACAATTTTTTCATGATTCTCTTATGAATATTGCACCCTCTCAGACATGACCTTGTTTGCAAAATTATATATATGATTTGAAATATTGCGACGGCTGCACCGCACGCAACAGCTGATGTCAACTGGACGCAACAAAGTGAACATTGCAAATCCAATTGTCTTTTGTGTCAGAGCGTTTACTGTCATGGATTTGTCATGTCGCATCGCACCGCATCCACAGCATCACTGGGTTCTATTTGCTTTTGTCACATCGCGCCGCTCGTGTCTGGTGTAGACAAGTTGTTTTGGTATTTGTAAATCTTAAGTATATTCACCATCTGCATCACTGGCAGTATTTTCACAAATTTGTAACTTAACGTTACTTGTTCAGAACAGAACCATGCAACATTCATTCATATTTCTACATGTCTCCCTGCAATACAACTCTGATTGTTCACACCATCTAGTGGTCTGTTATTGATACAACCACAACTGCAACAACTGATAACGGAGCGCTCAAGCAGGTACTGCCAGTCATGTTAAAATATGTCAAATTAATATTTTGCATTCAATTATTTACTTATCAGGCAATGATATACAGAAAAATTATGCAGTGTAGTCTTTTTCACCCTGTGAAGGTTTCTTTTGCAAAATAATCTGCTGACTGTACACCATCTCTCAGCCTTGCCACGCCCGCCCCCCAGTTTGGGAACCACTGGCTTAAGGCCATTTGTGAGATTTCAAACATCATGCACGCAGTAACCAGCATTACCCTGACCACCAACCCCATGCCCACTCCCCGCAATTTTTTTTTATTACTGATCTGCATGATTCACGTGGGTCATGATTTTAGACCGAAAAACAAAAACAAAACAAAACAAAAACGGAATTCTGGCTGCTGAGTGTGTTGCAGGCCATAGTTTGTTAATTTGCAAAATGTAACAAGCAAATCTTACCCACTCCATCTTTCTCAGCTCCAGTGGGCATCTCACAGGCAGACGGCTGGAGTGCTCATCCACCTGACACACAAGGTAAAAGAACATTAATTAGAACAAGGAAGAGAAAACACTAACTCACAGCCCTTCACACAATCTTAAACTGAATAACATAATATTTTGTATTCAATCCGTAGAGCACACCTTTTCTGTCCTGAGACCCTCAGGTGACTACCAAGGAAGAACACTGAGTAAGTTACCTATTTTTTTTTAATTGATGTTGTAAACCATCATCATTAGATTACTTCATTAATTAGAATAAAGGGGTGATCACACTGCACTTTTCCTTCTGTTGACTTCCATTAATATGCAATCGACTGCGTCAAACCGGAAACGCAAGCTTGTGTGAAAAGTTTCACATTTCGCTGCATTCCAAAGTTCAAGCTTGGTGAACTCTTGACCTGCGAATTCACATCACGTGAAACTGTATGACCAACAGCAGTTTGATACGTCACAGCATAATAGCTAAATTAAAAGAACATGAATGTAAAACTGCAGCGCTGCAGGAAAGTGGAGTAGATTGTATGTTTTTACATTTTAAATGTATTATTATGCGTTATGAGTTGAATTTAAGTTTTTAAAACAACGCTGCAGAGCATGACATCATATCACGACCGTTGCAGCGTCCAAGGAAACTTTGCATGCTTAAATTCTAGTGTGACCGCAGCATTCACAGCTAAAACTGAATAATATATTGTGTTCAATCCGTAGAGCACACCTTTACTGTCCTGAGACCCTCAGGTGGCTACCAAGGAAGAACACAGAGTAAGTTACATTTGATCGGCTGTAACGGTGTTGTAATCTGAAATGACACAAATGGACACATGATAAAATGCACATCTTCCATGAATGGCTGGGTAAAAAGGGTTTAGGAGCATAGAGTGTGAAAAGTCAGCTTTTTAATAACCTAGATTAATTGTTAAACCCTGATGTAATGAGCAGTCTGAAACATGAAAGCTACCTCAGGATTGGGTTCACCCAAGTTTTAGGGCCCTATCATACAGCTGGCGCAATGCGGCTCCAGGCGCGAAGCAAGTGTTTTTTGCTAGTTTCAGGCTGACACAGTTGTCATTTTCACGTCCTGTGCCACGTTGTTTAAATAGCAAATGCATTTGCGCCCATGGGCGTGCTGGTCTGAAAACAAGGTGTGTTCAGGCGCATTGCTGGCACATTGCTATTTTGAGGAACTGAAAATAGACTGCGCCATAGACCAACTCAAACCTGGTTTAAAGTCTGCCGCAATATTTTTTCTTTGTTATTTAAGGAGCGCGTTAGCCTATAGACGGGTGCACAACGCGCGTACACTTTGCTTATTACACACACACAGGGACGCGCAGCAAAATAAGCAAGCTAACATTCAGTACAATTTATATATTTCATTTCAAGAATATAAAATTTAATTCATTAATTAATTCATATCTTTTAGTTTGTCAAGAGATTTAAATAGCCATTTTGGAAAACAGTGTACGTGCGCACGTGCTCTAGTACATAAGAGCCTATCACTGAATCTGGAAAGAAAGCAAAATAAAATAAAATAAAAAATCAGTCCGCAGATGTCATACCCATAATTCATATTTAAAAAAATCTGGAATTAATTCAATCTCAAACCAATTAATTCAAGGTTATTACTCCACCTGTGTAACGTCATTAACCAATGTGTTTACACAGTAAGATATTTAATGTTTTTTAAAGAAGTCTCTATATAAACTCAGAAAGTTCAGAAGAACAGCATTTATCTGAAATAGAAATCTTTTGTTAACATTATAAATGTTTTCTCATCACTTTTGATTAATTTAAAGCATTGTTGCTAAATAAAAGTATTAATTTCTAAATATTCACACACACACACACACACACACACACACACACACACAAAAAGAAAAAAATTATACTGATTCCAAGCTTTTGAATGGTTTAGTGTAAAAAAAACGTTTTATTTCACATAAATGCTGATATTTGGATCTTTCTATTCATCAAAGAATCCTGAAAAAACTGTACTCAACCATTTTAAATATTGAAAATAATAATAATAAAAATGTTTCTTAAGCAGCAAATCAGCATATCAGAATGATTTCTGAAGGAACATGTGACACTGAAGACTGGAGTAATGATGCTGAAAATACAGCTTTGATTTAAATTTACATTTTAAAATAATCAAATACAGTAGTCAACATTTGAAGTGGACCAACACCTTTCATCAAAGTTGTCATAAAACCTAAAACCAAAATGTGTTGTCTTAGGACAACTTTGATTAACTTTTTTGAACCACTTCAAATGTTGACTACTGTAGAAAGCACACACACACACACACACACACACACACAAAAAGAAAAAAATTATACTGATTCCAAGCTTTTGAATGGTTTAGTGTAAAAAAAACGTTTTATTTCACATAAATGCTGATATTTGGATCTTTCTATTCATCAAAGAATCCTGAAAAAACTGTACTCAACCATTTTAAATATTGAAAATAATAATAATAAAAATGTTTCTTAAGCAGCAAATCAGCATATCAGAATGATTTCTGAAGGAACATGTGACACTGAAGACTGGAGTAATGATGCTGAAAATACAGCTTTGATTTAAATTTACATTTTAAAATAATCAAATACAGTAGTCAACATTTGAAGTGGACCAACACCTTTCATCAAAGTTGTCATAAAACCTAAAACCAAAATGTGTTGTCTTAGGACAACTTTGATTAACTTTTTTGAACCACTTCAAATGTTGACTACTGTAGAAAGCAGGTATTGTACTGTATTTTGGATCAAATAAATGCAGGCTTGGTGAACAGAAGAGAATTCTTTAAAACATAAAAAATCTTACTGTTCAGAAAGTTTTAACTGATAGCGTGCATGTTACAATTTACTGACTTCTTTTTCTTCTGGATGGCATTGATGCCATGATTTTACTTTAAAATAGATTTTAATACATATTTTTCTTTGCTTTTATTATTTTCTGAAATTCAGTTAGCTAGAATTTTAATGTGCATTTACTTGTCTGAGTAACAAGCAAATCTTACCCACTCCATCTTTCTCAGCTCCAGTGGGCGTCTCTCAGGCAGACCATCACGGCTGGAGTGTATATCCACCTAACACACAAGGTACAAAAGCATTAATTAGCATAAGGAGATGAAAATGAGAAAAAAATCATTCCCAGCCCTTCACACAATTTAAAACCGGATAATATAACATGCATGATCTGTTTAATCCATAGAGCACACCTTTTCTGTCCCGAGACCCTCAGGGGACCACCAAGGAAGAACACTGAGTAAGTTAAGAAGGGGAAAAACAAAATGTCTGATAACTTTAACAATGTCCAGGAATACAGACATGATGGGCTGCAACATTCACAGGAAGCTGTTTGTTCTGAAAGTACAATTATCTGCACGTTTTAGTCAAATTGAACTAAATCAAACTGAACACCATTTCAAATCATATTAAATATTGTTATGGATTTAATGTTTTTTTTCCATTTTAATCACGTTCCAAAAATAATTTCAATGAAGTTACAGCTAAAAAAAAAAAACATGCATAACGTTACACCAGAGGAAAAAAAAAACTAAATTTGGTACATACCATCGGTTTTGAAATCATGGTTTGGTATGGTTTTGGTATAGCAGGAGAAAAAAAAATCTAAATGGCTTTCTTTAGTAAACAGTGGTTTACTGAACAAATTGGGTCTCTCTTAAATGAACTATAACCAAAATTATTTAATGGATAAAAAATGTCAGCTAATGCCATAAATTACATAGGGAGTCCAGTCCAATTACTTGCACATTACTATATTGAAGGTTTCATTTAACGGAGCCCAAAGTATTAAACTGCAATACATTTTTTAGATTATATAATAATCAACTAAATTTTATGCAAACATTTAAATTGCACATAGGGTAGTTTTTTACATTAACTTGAAAAGCTAATTTTAAAATTATGCTTTTACTCTAATTCACTGTTGAAATATAATAATTTACTCACTGACTGTCATGAATCATGACATTTAAACACATTAAAGTATCCAGACATCACTAACAGGTTAACTAAAATTTGATGAATATATGAGCTAATATAAGGCATATATAGCAAAAAGCTTTTCTTTATAGTTCATTTCTGTCAAGCTATGGACTTACTTGAGGTAAATGTAATGCTATGTGATATTCTTTACAAGCTTTCTGCAATTGAAACACTGATTGAACGATTACATGGGCATGAGATGCTCATTCATGTTTATTTTATTCTATAACTAGTAGTAAAGAGAAAGAGATGAACATAGGCCTGTCGCAATAATCAATATATTGACTTATCGTGCAATATATGTACATGACCTCAATAATTTTTGGTGTCGCAATATATCACCCATTATATTTACTTAAAAATGAATGTCACCATGTTTTGTACATTCCACTTGAGCCTGTGTCTTTTGCAGCTTCTCGTACCACATGGTTTGTCTAAAAGCATATTAAAAACACCACATAGACAAATAAACAACATAAAAAACTTGATTTTCACTACAGGGGGATTAATAATTAATGTAGTTGTACATTCCACTTGCTCCTGTGTCTTTTGCAGCTTCTCGTACA